TTATATTTTAAAAAATAATCTAAATTGAGTAAAAGCTAACTACTGTGTTTTTAGGCAATAGGCTTGAATGAAAATATTTATTAGAATTCTTTAGTAACCCTTTAATTACAGGATAGATTTGTTCCTTTATCCTCAAAGTTTTTTTAAAAAATTAAGTGATAGTAAGTATGTTCAAGATAATTTAATGTTGTAGATTTAAATCAAGCATTAATGACTTTGAAACTTGTATAGTTCAGCTGAGGCAATTTTTTTGGTGTAGCACAACTAATATGCAGTTTAACATATGGTTTAAATTTGATGTAAGTTTTTTTTTTCCCCCCCAGAAAACTTTAGAAACTGTTCCTTTGGAGAGGAAAAAGGTACTCTGCCAGCAGGTCACCTCATATTTAAGAATTTAATTTCCTGCATACGAAGAGAAAATGTAAATAAAAATTGAAATGGTGTTTTCCTTTGCAGAGAGAAAAGGAACAGTTCCGTAAACTCTTTATTGGTGGCTTAAGCTTTGAAACCACAGAAGAAAGTTTGAGGAACTACTATGAGCAATGGGGAAAACTTACAGACTGTGTGGTACGTGAGTTATGGAATTCTGAATGAGACACTAAATTTTTTGCTTTACGTTCAATGAATGAATCATGCAGAAAATAATGTAAAGCAGTGTTTGTAGTAAAACTACTGTAATTCATGTTGCAGTTTAATAACAAAAATAAGGTAAAATGCTAAAGTTTATCCTTCGCTTTTCAAGGTAATGAGGGATCCTGCAAGCAAAAGATCAAGAGGATTTGGTTTTGTAACCTTTTCATCCATGGCTGAGGTTGATGCTGCCATGGCTGCAAGACCTCATTCAATTGATGGGAGAGTGGTTGAGCCAAAACGTGCTGTGGCAAGAGAGGTAAGCAAAACATAACATGGGGAAGATCTGAGTGTGGTTTTCGAAATAGTTTTTTTCCTTATTAAAGCTGTGTTGGGTTTCTGGACCTTTTCCTCCATGAGCTAACTTATTTTTCAAAAGACTGGGCTCTTAAAAGCTTCCTTTGCCTGGTATTTTATCATAAGGTAGATAGAAGCCGTATGTGGTACAAACGTGGTATGCTTTCAGTCATGCTTGTGGTTTCTTGCGTCAAGATGACTTTTCTTCTGACCCTACCATTCATTTTAGGAGTCTGGAAAACCAGGGGCTCACGTAACTGTGAAGAAGCTGTTTGTTGGTGGAATTAAGGAAGATACTGAGGAGCATCACCTTAGGGATTACTTTGAGGAGTATGGAAACATTGATACCATTGAGATAATTACTGATAGGCAGTCTGGAAAGAAAAGAGGCTTTGGCTTTGTTACTTTTGATGACCATGATCCTGTGGATAAAATTGTGTGTAAGTGTCTATAAGGGTATGGCTTTTAACGTATATTAAACTTTGGGTATGTTAACGTCGACATCTTAATTAAAAGGTGAACTTTCTGTGTTGCTTTACTATTGCAGTGCTGATTAATGGAGTCTGGTGGTTGTTTTTTTTCCCCCATTCCAGTGCAGAAATACCATACCATCAATGGTCATAATGCAGAAGTAAGAAAGGCTTTGTCCAGACAAGAAATGCAGGAAGTTCAAAGTTCTAGGAGTGGAAGAGGAGGTAACTTCATTAATTCTGTTTTTTCTTTCTTTATATTTGTGGTAGTGCTTGCTTCTAATTAGGGCATTTATTATAGGCAACTTTGGTTTTGGAGATTCTCGTGGTGGTGGTGGAAATTTTGGACCAGGACCAGGAAGTAACTTTAGAGGAGGATCTGGTAAGTTCAGGTTCTAAGTGTTTAAAGGCTGAATGTGCATGATTAAAAATACTACTATGATTAAGTTTTAATTAGAATTCAGGAAATCCAATCTAAATTAAAAGGTTGTCCTTAAGAATTAAAATAGGTTGAATTCTGGTGAATCCCCAACTTACAGTTAAAAGATAAAAGGGGTTAGTACCAGGTATATTTATCTGAATAGATAACATAATGAAGTGCCAACAAGAAAAGTTTTGGCCCCATTCGTTATTCCTATGTGTAAACAAATGGAATCTCTTAAATTGAGCTTGCTCAGTCCAAGCCCACAGACAGTTGTCTTGGTAGTAAGAATTATGTGTTTTCATGGTTTTTTTCTTTTTATGAATAAACTAGTCAACACGTGTGTGTTCCATCCTAAAGTTCTCAACTCTCATCTTGGGATTACTAATAGAATGTGGAGGGAGTGACTTCTAAAAATTGAGTAGGGTGAGCAGTTTATAATCATCTCTTTTCCTCACAGATGGATATGGAAGTGGACGTGGATTTGGGGATGGCTATAATGGGTATGGAGGAGGACCTGGAGGTCAGTTTCTTTATTTTGATTTCTGTGACTTAACTGCATTGTATATGTTTGTTTATCCATCAGCTTTTAAAGTTTTCTGTATTTTACCGTTTATAATGGGCTTAGGTGATAGTGGTTCAGTTATTTGGCTTTTCCTTTATAATTTATTTGTGTCTTAGCTATTTTATAGCTTAAGGAATATAGTGCAAAATCGTGGATGGATTTTAAGTGAGAATTTAAAGGGCCATCATGCTATCCCATTGTTTCTCAAGCAAAGAAATTGGACTGAAACGTGATTTTTATGTACTGGAAAGGTATAGAATATGGGAATTGACTGAGATCAACACATGAAGGGAAGGATATGTAAGAGCAATTCTTGTCTTAGCCCTTAAATAGATAATCGGTTTCCCAGGAGAACATCTAAAAAGTAATCTCAGGAACTTTCAAAATATATATGTAAGTGTGCTCTTGGCTACAGATGTGGTTATGAGCCACTGTTACACATCAAGTGACAACTTTAAATGAATCAGTTTCATTGGAGTACAGAAAAGGGGTTGATAACTTCCTGACTGGCTTCCTAATAAGAAAAAGGGACATTTTAAAATTGAGCTACCAGTAGATTTTATCTCTGGTTTTGCCACTTATTAGGTATAACTAAGTTCTGTATCTAACTTTTCCGGTGTTACTTGGAAATTTTAATTTAAAATTATAACTTGTAAGTAATTTTAGACTTGGTGTGGTGTACCAGTTTTGAAGAAGTTTTGTTTGTTTTTAAGGTGCTAGATTGAGTAAATAAGTTCTGATTTATATGAA